AGAAAACTTCTAAGTGAGATCTATAGTTGTTTCTTTTCTAAAACCTTTTTTTAAAAAAAAAATGAACCAAAACGTTACTATTTTGTCACAGCGAGTACATGAAAATATTACGAAAATAAAGGGGAAAAAGCTTCAGTTTTCTGTGGTAACTTTTATATCAAAGCCTTACACAGGAAATCATTCAAGGTATTTGATAACGCTGGTTTGATAATATTGAAGTCTTAGTCCAGCTGGACAGCATATTCATCATCTGCAACTACCAAAGCACAGTCATCATTGTAAGGCGATTGCATTGCGGTTGAGAAGACGCTGAAGCCCGAACAAGCGTTCCTTTTATAGAGGAACCAAATAATTGCTCCCAAAACTGTCAGAGTTACTGTGCCAGCAATCACCAGAGCTGATATTAAAATGTGGTTATCTAAAAGGGAAAAAAGAAAAATTACAGGCAGTCAGAATACAAGCTGGAAATATTTCATTTGGAGCAGTCATTTCATCATTTGTATTTATATGTACAATTTCCCAACTGATGAGAAAAAAATACGTTCTTTACTAGAGATTTTTCTTCCTGTTAGGCAGAACGGTTCAGTGGTTAAGACTGATAAACTGAATTTGTTCCCTAGGCCCACAAGGTGGAGGGGAGCGAACTAACCTCTACAAGCTGCCCTCTGACCTCCATGTGCATGTCATGGTGCACACTTGTGCGTATACACAATAAAAATGAAATAGTTTTAAGTTTATAAAACATTTGTGGGAAAATTAGCCATGCTTGAAATTTGAATTAAAGCATTATAGTTTTATGCTCTACTGAGTGTCATTGTCTATGACCTATTTCTCTTTCCTTTCCTTCAAAATTTTGGAATTCACACCTTCTGTTCTCTTGAGGATCTAGTGGGGTCTGATGGTCTGTCTGCCTTTCATATTTATAATTTGCCTCACAGAAATAACATTAAGAGCTACAATATCCGCATTTTTGTTTCTCTTCACATAGTACTGTTTGTGGATCCCCTGGTTTACAGATGTGTGCGGCCTTTCAGTTGTTGCCTAGTCAAAACTCGGTCTTTCTCTAAAAATGCAGTTTAACATCTAGTAACTGGGATGGTAGATGTGTTATACATAATAAAGGATTCTAAATTACAACTTCATTGCAGATGGATTTTTACTTTAATATGCTAAATATTTTAACTAGTGCTTCTTAAAGTGGTAACTAAAAGGATTAGAGATGAGTCGACTAGCTCTGGCCAAGTGTCTTGTTAAGGTCAGGAAAGCATAAAAACATTAAGGTTATCCTCAGTTACAGAGTTTGAGGTCAACTTGCACCTGAAAATAAGCCAAGACTTAACGAATTGTTAGTTCAAATGATAATTTTTATAGTTACCTTACATGTTACAGTCTTAAAAGTGCTTGACTTTTGACTCTACCCACATGGACACACTGAGTGTTGACGTGTAATAACATAGGAAGATATATTTTAGTGATAACATACTCACAGAAATGTAGTGAAACAGTACATTTTAGGTTGAAAAAACAGCATGATAATCTAGGATTGTGTCGAGATACATATTCACTGATTCAAAAGACCTTTTGATTTATTTGTGGGACAGCAGCCAAGATTGATGGGACACAGTATGACTGTATTCACATGTTATGCAAGTGGCCTGTGAGTGAGTTGCAAGACTTTCTGTTGACTAGCTAAAATGTGCCATCTTCATACCAACGTGTCATACAGTGTCATTGAGGCCAAAGCTACAGTTCATCATTTAAAACTGTTAAATTTCAAGTTATTTATTGTTTACTGTTCACAATTTATTCTGGGCATGATTCAAACAAGTTTCCCAAATCCCATTTAATAGGCAGTAGCAAAAGCTCCAAACACTTGGTTGTACACACTAGGATAGCTTTTGTCTCCTCTGTAATATACTTTAATTTTTTGTGATCAGCTAACCTGATTGATCTATAGTATACTTTCATGCATCCTTGGGTAGACTAACTTCCATGAGCTTACCACACCAAGGACATCCCTCTATAGTCCTTATTCTATCCAGAACATTCTAAAAGCCTTCCATCTTACTTTGTGTAGATAACTTGTTCACTACAATTGCTGCTACAATTCTGTTTTCCTTGCTTCAACTCAGTGATCCAGTTACTGATTTCTGACAAAAACCGGCCAATGCGTCAGGCAGTTTTTCTTCAGTCTTTCTTCTTTGTTACAGCCTTATATGATTGAGACCTAACTTAAACTTTGCCTGGAATGTGCACAATCTAAGCCTGCCCACTCTTCTGTGGTTTCGAGAGCCACGCTAGGACTGTTGCTCTTTTTCTTCAGATTTTGACCTCATACATATTTTTTAATGTCTTCTCAGCTAAAATGTATTAGTTGTTAGAAGTCTCTGAAAAAAAAAAACAAAGTGGTTGGGTACATGAGTGAAGAACATTTTCCTAATTAAATCATTTCAACTGGGAAGAGTCACCTTGAACCCTGCTCTTTGGAGGTAGGAAGATCCACCTGTAATCTGGGCCACACTTTGTGATGGCAGCCTATATAAAGAAAGAAGGAAGCTTTGCTCTTTACTTGCCCTCACTCTTCCTGGGAAGTCGGTTCCTTCAGTGGCGATAGCACCTACTTCTTGGGATTCCAGCGTATACTAAGGACCAGCTGAGACATCCAGCCTTGTGGACTGAACAGCTAGTGGATTCCTGACCGTTGTAATGGTAGACAGCCATCCTTGGACTAGCAGGACCAAAGCCTCTAAGTCACTCTTAAAAACCCTAATAAATACAAGGTCTGAAAAAAAAAACCTGCTGTGCTCCTATTCCACTGTTAATCCAACATATATTCCTCAAAATCGACTGCTGATTGTCTTCATGCTTCCAAATAATACGCTTAAATTGCTTTTGTTTTATAAATGAATAGTAAAAACAAGTGCAGTTCATTATCATTAAATATAGTCAGGTTGACTGGCACTCTCTCCTTAGCTCTGATATAAAAACGTACTCATGCCAGGTTTGTCTGCGAAGTTTTAACTATTCTGAGTACCTTATGTAATGAGATCACTAAAGACACATTTGCCTTGGGATTGATTTGGATCAATCTTGTGTCCTCTAGACTTGTGTATGTGTATGTTGTAGCATGTGTCAGAATTTAATTCCCTTTGTGGTTGAATAATAGTATTTACTACACTTTACTCATCGATCTGTTGATGCACACTTGAGTAACTTCCATCTTTCAACAGTTAGAAATACAGTATTGTGAATACAGGTGTGTAGAGTCTCAGCTTTCCTTAGGTTTGTATCCAAAAGTAGAACTGCCTTGCTTTTTCTACCCTGGCTTCACCATTTTTACATTCCATGTTAGTTCAATTTGGTCAAGCATAGACTTGACCAAATATTTCACAAAATATGGAAGTGCCTGGCATCAGGAAAATAAAACAATTAGTAAGTTCAGTATACATCTACGTGAATGACCAAAACCAGAAATGGGCACTACTATCATGAGTATAAAGCATATCAAGCTCCCAGTGCCTCACTAGTGACAGTGTGACCCAGCTTACCACTGAACAGGTACATGGTTTCTAACAGAACTATTGTGTTACAAGATATTTTGGGGAATATATTTAAGAATGTTGGTCAAGAAAAGAGAATGTAGGTTGCTCTATTCATGTTCGTTCCAAAGTAGAAATTAAACCATTAGGAAGCAAGAGCAAAATGTTTATAATACATCTAAGCCGTAGGAAAAAATAAAAGAGTATATGCAAAGTTTCAGAGTGAAAGAAGCAAGAGTAATGTATAAAGTGAGGAGGAAAGGCAGGTGAATCAATGTGAGTTCATGGCCACCTTGATCATACTGAGTTCCAGGCTGTCTCATCAAAACAAAAAGCAACAGCAACAAATCCGCATACTGTAGACAACAGTGAAGTTCGTGAAGAAATCTGGTGTTAGGCACTGGTATGGAGAGGAAGTGTTCAGTGAAATTAGCCAGACAATATTGTATTCATGGGGGTTATGAAGAGTGACTAATAGGAGTTCCTGGAGTGCTTGTGATCAACGAGCAATATGCAGGTATAGAAATGACAATGCAACAAAACTGCCCGGCTGATGTGTTAATAGAGTCCAGTGGTTGGGTGGTGAATGGGCCTTTTAATGGAAGGGTGAGAACACGGTGGTGGAAATGGTAACTATTGTGACTTGACTTTCATGGATAATGTGTTACTTTAAATGTCAGGCCTTTTTTAAATTTAATTTTTTACTTTATGTATATGGGTGTTTTGACTGTATGTATGTCTGTGCCCCGTGCACATGCCTGATGCCCGTGGAGGCCAGAAGACAGGATCCAATCTCCTGGATCTGGAGTTACAGATGGATGTGAATCATCTTTGTGGTGCTGGGTAGTCAAACCTGGGTCCTCTAGAAGAGCAGCCAATGGCCTAGTCACGGAACCATTACCCCAGCCCCTAATGTGATGCTTTATTTAGACCTTTCTATATTCTGATAAAAGGTCTTTATGTTACATAGTTATTCTGTTTGTTTTTTGTTTTTCAAGACAGGCCCTACTCTAACTCACTCTAGACCAGGCTAGCCTCCAACTCAGAGATTCACCTCCCTCTCAAGTACTGGAATTAAAGGCATGCACCAACATAATATTTTTAAATGGATCAACAGTGGTATCTTAACATACCAGAATTTAAATATATATTTCTAATGTATGGAAAATTTTAAGATCAGAACGTTACTTACCTGATAAATATTTCTTGTCATATGGAACTAAAATACAAAAGAAATGAAAATTAAACATTTAAGGATTTATTTTATATACACTTGTTTAAAATGGATACTCTATGAGGTTAATATTCCTATCTTTACTGCTTCATCAAGTATCTATCTTACCTGTTTTGAATATAGTTTTTATTTTCCTTGTTTTGAGACAGTTTCTTAGTGTATCCTGGCTGTTGTGGAACTCACTCTGTAACCTCATACTCAGAGATCCACCTATTTCCACCTCCTGAATACTGGGTGCACACATTAAGGGTGTGCACCACCACTGCCCACTGTCAAATTTAATTTTTTAAAATTAAATACCTAAGCTGGGCAAAATGTATACTGACTTGGTTGCTGGAAAAAGAATGAAGGAACTTTATAAAAAGTAATAGTAGATTATAGAAATAAAATGATTCTGATTTTAGAGTCTGTAGAAAACAAAATCAGCTGTGGATTTGCTCAGTGCTTCTTGTTTTAGTTAATAGTTTTACATTTCATGCATTTGAGTGTTTTGCATGTACACATGTGCAATCCATCCCATACCTAGTGCCCATGGAGGTCAGAAGAGGTATCAGAACTGGAACTGGCCGAGTGTGTGCTGGGAAGTAAATCCTGGTTCTCTGTAAGAGCCACAAGTGCTCTTAATCTCTGAGTTATCTCTTCAGTCCTGATATTTTTAATTAGTGTTTGTTTTGTGTAATGGTGCCCTCCAATACAGTAGGTGAAAGGAGCCGATTTGCATGTGCGTGTATGGAGGTAGTTGAAGGGGTGGGTATTTGCGTGTGCATGTATGGAGGTAGTTGAAGGGGTGAGTATTTGCGTGTGCGTGTATGGAGGTAGTTGAAGTAGGTGGGTATTTGTCTACCACCATCTGGTGGCTAAAAAAACAATGATTTTTACATTTTTATTTTTATGCAAATGAGTGTTTTGCCTGTATGCACTCTCTGCACCATGTGAGTGCCTGCCTGGTGCCCCTCGAGGCCATAAGAGCACTGGAGTCTCAGACAGTTGTGAGCCGCTACATGGGTGCTGGGAATTAAACCAGGGTCCTCTGGAAGAGCAGTCAGTGATCTTAACCTCTGAGTTATCTCTCCAGCCCACAATCTTAGCCACTGAGTCATCTCTCCAGACTCAGCTCACAGCATCCGTACACATAGAGGAAAACAAACGAAAATGCTGGAAGTTGGGATGTCACCCCTGTAAAACTACAAGGGCTGAACCACAAGTAAGGTAAGTGTGGAGTTCAGAAATGGGAAAGTTCGGAGCCAGACGGGCAGTTTGCTTCACAGTTAAGGAAAGACTATTAAGGATTGGATTTGGGGCCAGGTGTGGTGGTTTAATTCCAGCACTCGGGAGGCAGAGGCAGATCTCTGTCAATTGAAGGCCAGGCTGGTTGACAGAGCGAGTTCCAGGACAGCCAAGTCTATTCAGAGAAACTCTGTCTTGAAAAACAAAACAAAAAAAGGAACTGAGCTGGAAAACAGTTGAATGACGTTTTAAGCATACCATACCGTTTATAGTTCTCATTTTTCATTTGCTGACTGAAAAACTACTCAGAAATTTAAAACAAATTATACTCAGGGTTTAACAAATAACATGAAAATATTGTGGAACATATTAATTTTGTTAAACTTTGATATATCAGAAAGTATATTTTAATACAGAATAAATCATGAAATATGATGCAATTTTAATATGTCATTTTGTTTGCCTAAACAAAAGATACTAGTTTTGTCGGAAATCTAATTCCTTAAAGTAATGTTAGAATTTTAAGATTATTCAATATTATTCTTTACCACTTCTCAGTCAGATCACAGGCAAAGAGGACATGGAAATTTGTTTGAAAAACAAATTTATGGACTGTTAGGACCTCCTAAGAATAGGCACACAGAATAAATTATGTCTGGTTCCCATGATCCGGCTCCACTTCTGAAATGTAAGAGGATTGCTGACTTCCATCAAGCTGTATTCTAAAGTCAGTCCCTTGCCTTGTGAGACATACTATGTCTAAGAAAAGTATTCCAAAACTGTGTGCCTCACCCCTCCTAGAGTGGAAAAAGGTAGTCTCACTTACTTGCGGCTTTGCAGAGTGTCCCCTCCACAGAAGAAATTTCACAGTTTCCTTTTTTCCATTCGCCTGTCTTGGTATACAGGAAACCGCAGGTGTCAACTAGGTCCTCGCCATCTTGATCTGCCCACTTGTCAAAGGTCATATTCGAGTTATCAAACCACTTGAAACTTGCATCTGTCAATTGAGGAATAGTTTCAACATTATGACAGTTTTCGAAGGTGTTAAGACGCAAAGGAAAAGATTTAGATTCAAGGTAGAAACTTACATATTTATGATCTAATTTTTGGTTATAGGAGTAAAAGTTGTAGAAGGAACACTATATCCTATCAAAAGGTGAATTAAAGAGAATTCTGGAAAAGGTATCATTTTTGTGAAGAAAAACATTTTGGTGAAATAATTTAAAAATAGTTAAATAATCTTAACATTAATAACCTCAGTCATTTCATGACATTTAACAATGTGACTAATGGGGCTGGAGAGGTGGCTCAGAGGTTAAGAGCACTAGTTGCCCTTCCGGAGGTCCTGAGTTCAGTTTCCAGCAACCAAATGGTTGGTGGCTCACAACCATCTATAATGAGATCTGGTGCCCTCTTCTGGCGTGCAGGCAAACATGCAGGCAGAACATTGCATACATAATAAAATCTTTTTTAAAATATGTGACTAATACCTCTGTATACATGCATATAAATGCTTTATATATTTGTATATTATACTATAATATATAAATTGTAAACTTATATAGACACTATAAAATACACATGCTTTATAGTGTTGCATACTAATAAAATTTACATTCCTATTATGTAACCTGGAAAAGATAATTTATCTCTACCGTATTAACAAAAAATACTAACACTTCTTGTAATCCATGGCATCTTAAGAAAATACTAACCCTCTAATGACACTTTGATTCAAGTAAGAGGATCAAGTGTGTTTCCCATTTGTGAAGCACTCGGAGTGACTCGGGAAAAGACCGTGGACACTAGTCACTGATTACACTGGAAATGTAATACCCAGAGACATGCATTTCATCTGGAGCAGTAGCTCTCAACATGTGGGTCACGACCCCGGGGGAGGGGACACAATCTTTTCACAGGTTGCTTTAGACCATCGGAAAACACAGATATTTATTGATGTTTGATTCATAACAGCAGTAAAATGAGAGCTATGAATCAAACATCAATAAATATCTGTGTGGTTGGCAGTCTCCACAACATGAGGAATTGCATTAAAGCAGTAGAAAGGTTGAGAACCACTGATCCAGAGAATTAAGGAACCAAACATCCTAAGTCTCACAGTTAATTATGTCTCACAAGGTAAATACCACTTACCATCTGTGTCATAAAACATGCCTAGCAGGAGGTCATCCGGGCCTTTCCATTGCTTTTGTAAAGTGTCCAGTATAAAAGCATTTTCTTCTTCGTTGTGTATACTTATCATGTCTGCTCCTGAAATAATTTTAAAAGAAAACCAACTTCAAGAATCAATGAAAAAAAAAAAAGTCAGGTGGTGGTGACACATGTCTTTAATCCTAGAACTTGGGAGGCAGAGGCAAATCTCTATGAGTTTGAGGCCAGCCTAGTCTACAAGATCTAGTTCCAGGACAGGCAGGGCTGTTACACAGAGAAGTCCTGTCTCAAAGCAAAACAAACCCCCAAAAAAATAAAACAAAAAAAGAATCAATTGAAAGCATGAAGTATATAAAAATTGTGACATGTTTTACCATTACATATTTTAAAATAGCAGGAGTTAGGTGGTTAGCTACAGAAGGAAAAATTCTGTTGTCCAAAAGGCAAAGCATGCTATGGACCAGTTTAGATGGTTCAGCAGATTGGAGGCACCAGCTGCTGAACCTGCCTGGCTGTGTCCAATCCCCAGGAACCAGCTCTTACATTGTCCTCTGACCTATATGCAGTCCTATGGCACATGCCTGCCTGCACTCATACACACCATACATACACAAAAATAATAGATTTCTTAAAACCTATCTGTGATGGCTTGAATAAGAATGGCTCCCATAGGCTCATATATTTGAATGTTTAATCTTCAACCAGTGTCACTACTTGAGAAGGATTCAGAGGTGTGGCCTTGTTGGCGTAGGGGTGGCCTTGGTGGAGGAAGTCTGTCATGGGGTGGGCTTTGAGGTATCAAAAGCCCAAGTGTCTTGTTAGGGTTTTATTGCTATGAAGAGATACTATGATCATGACAACTCTTATTTTTTAAAAAAAGCACTTAATTGAGGAGGCTCAGGGTTTCAGAGGTTCAGTCCATCATCATGACAGGGAGCATGGCAGTGTGCAGGCAGACATGGTGCTGGAGCTGAGAGTGCTACATCTTGCAGGCAACAGGACGTCAACTGACTGTCACACTGAGGGAAGCTTGAGCAAAAGAGACCTCAAAGCCCACCCCCACAGTGACACATATTCCTCCAACAAGGCCATACCTAGTAGACCACACACACATGCTCCCTTTGGGGGCCATTTCCCTTTAAAACACCACACCAAGCTAGGCCCAGTGGCTGTTCTCTTTCTACTGCCCACAGATCTGGATTAGAACTCTAAGCTACCTCTCCATCACCATGTCTGCCTGAGTGCCTCCATGCTCACCACCATGATGACAATGGACTAAACCTCTGAAACTTTAAGCCAATCCTAACTACATCCTTTATAAGACTTGCCAAGGTCATGATGTCTCTTTACAGCAAAAAACAACTCACTAAAACAATTATCAAGAAGGAAAACCAGAAACTAAGCAGGCTATTATAAGATAGAAGCAAACACTTTAATAGAAACAGAGTTCAGCCAAACAGTGGTGGTGCACACCTTTAGTCCAGCACTATGGAGGCAGAGGCAGGCAGATCTCTGAATTGGAGGCCAGCCTGGTCTATAGTGTGAGTTCCAGGACAGCCAGGGCTACACAGAGGAAACCCTGACTTGAAAAAGAAAAAAAAAAAGAACAAAAGAAGAAAATGTTTTTAAAAAGTCAACTTATCACAATTATGTCACTAGAAATGTGTGAAAAGTTCTCACTGGTTTAAAGAAAAATAGATGAAATTTGGGATCTGGGAGCTCAGCAGGTAAAGCGCTAGCTCACCCTGCAAGCCTGACCCCCTGAGTTCAATCTCTGCACATAAAGGGTCCAATGTGGTTACACACATCTGTAATCCCTGCATGCCTATGTAGAAATAGGGGTGCACACAGGAGAACTGGCTGGCAGTTTGTGGACCTGAGCCTATAGTATGAAGTACAGTGGCAGAAATGAGATAGGCCCTGCCTCAGTAAGGGGGAAGGCAAGAACCAACCAACTTCCAACAGTTGTCCTCTGATCACAGGTGTACATGTGGTGCACATGCTCCCACGAACATATATCCACACAGAAGTGACAATTTTGAAAAAAATGAAAATGAAACTTCCAGATTTGCAGACTAGCCAGTTCAGCATTTATTGTAGAAAACTAGGAACTGACATATGGACAGTCAGTAAAAATGACAAGAACAACTTCCTTTGGGAAAATCTGGTGAGATATATCAGAAAACCTAAAGCACTTTGAGCAATCCTTAATAGCATATTCTGTGTTAATCCCTGCCTGTCCACTCCAAACAGGCACAGTGATTAAACACACACTGAACTGTACACAGATTGCTTTTCCCAGACATAATCATTACAGCTCTTTTATGACATTGAAATATTGGGGCCACAGTTACCAGAACGCTAGCAATGATTATCTCAGGGTGGTCCAATTTAGGCTTTGTTTGTTAACCTATTTACATATGTTTTTCTAAATAGTATTTGATGATAATTAATTGTGGGATTATGAAAGGGCTTTTACACTGAAAAATGAAGTCGTAATACACTTTAAAGTCAGAATGCAGCACGGCTTTCCAAGTCCACCATTTTTAATCTCTTAGACGTTTCATGCTATGCACACCATAACTGTGGTAGTCAGACTGAGAACGCCCCCTTTCCCATAAACTCATATATTTGAATTCTTGGTCTTCAGTTGATGGAATTATTTGAGAAGGATTAGGGGGTGTGGCTTTATTGGAAGAGATGTGTCACTGGGGGTGGGTTTTGAGGTTTCAAAAGCCCATGGCATTCCCTGTTAGCTCTCTGTCTCTTGCTTGTGGATAAAGATGTAAGCTTTCAGCTACTACCCTAGAGCTACGCCTGCCTGCCTGCTGTCATGTTTTTCCCCATGATTGTCATAGACTCTAACCCTCTAGAACCATGAGCCACAAATTAAAAACTTTCTTTTGTAGTTGCCTTGGTCATGGTGTTTTGTCCCACTGCTAAGAATGTATCAGAGAATGGGCTATCGTTGTGATAGGCCTGACCATGTGGGGGGTTTTGGTTTTTTGTTTTGTTTCATTTGGAAAATGTAGAACACTTTGGAACTTTGGGCTAGAAAAGCAGTTGAATGCTATAAGAGGGGCAGGGGCCATCCTAGTAGGGCCTGGGAAGAGAGTAGTGTTAAGAGCAATTTGGACTATGGTGGTCCAGCTCAAGAGATTTTAGAGGTGAACAATATTAGCAACTGGGCTAGAGACCATGTGCATGATAGTTTAGCAAAGAATGTGGCTCCCCCCCCCTTCCTTGTCCTAAGAATATGCCAGAGGTTCAATCGAGATGTTTTGGAGCAATTTCATTAGCAGAGATGATGTCAAGGCATCTAACACTGACTTCTGTGGTGTTCTCAGTCGTCACTTTCACAGGGCTTTCCATGGAAAGGACCAAGCAGGGCAGAAAGAAATGGAAATGTACAGTTTGAAGAGAAAAACACCACCAGGAAATTTAATGTCGGAGGCAGGGATTGTGCTGAAAGACACAAGCAGAGGCCTAAGGTAAACCTAGGCTGAGGCGCTACCCAGCCGACCTTCAACTTGGAGGTCTAGGGGATTTTCTTCTCCTAAAGAGCAACAAGAAATCAAAGCTTATGCAAATGTAATTCAAGGAGTGGTCCAGGCCCCAACCCAAGCAGGTAACCAGCTTGGCAGCATCTGCTGTGTGGCTCTGTCTTGAGTTCTGAAAGACACTCAAGACAAGGGGTTTGTACGTCCTCCACAGCTAAGAAGAGCCGCTGAGGCCGAGTGTGTGGCAAGGGAGTCCCTACTTGAAGGCCTCGAGACGTCCCTGCTTTAAGTTGTTAAATGAAGCCTGGACTGTATGGGAGACCCCA